ATTAATTTTTTTTATCTTAAATTTGAACGATAAATATTTTTTTTTGACTGGGCTTTATTTTATTACGCGTCTATTGACGCTTACAATAACATGATAGACAACTAGAAAGAAAAGACAAAAATGGATCATGAGAATGAAAAAACATAGCAACAGTAATAAAAAAAAAAGGAGAGTATATGAAATATGACAACTAAATAAGTAGAAATGAGATCATATGGTAACTTGAAAGATAAACCAAATGAACTATATCTATTTTATTTTGTTTTGTTTAAATGAGATTTTTTCTTTAAAATCAGAACTTTTTTTTGGAAGATGAAAGAAAAAATAGTTTTTTCGAATAATTTATTTTACATTAAAAAATTAATGAATCTTCTTCACCACTATCACATTTATTGATTATCATCGTCTGAAGTATCAGACTTCGGAGTTGCAGCTAGAATAAAAAACGTTCGAAGATGTGATTTACGTGTCAGGTCAACAATTCCGTTTTTATCCAATGCTGTTGGACATCAATAGAATGAACATAAAAGCAAACAAGAAGAAGAAAGGTACATGTAAGTTAACTAAGAAAATGGCATATTTCTATCACATGATGAGACTCACATTCACACCTTGACAATTCTCAAATGAAATAGTTTGATGACGAAGACCAATTGTTATCTGGTCCAAATTAGTAGCAATTCTTATTCCTTTTGATGAGATTCATGAAGAATTGGATAAACTCAAGGATGACGATATATTTGACAAACTATGACCAGAGTATCGTGTTGATTTGATAGTGAGTGATCGTGAGATTGTGAAGTTCATTGTATACCACAATTATGGGGAACGTGGACTCTACTGGCCAGAAATTCGTGCCATTTATACAAACATAAGAGTGGAAGTTTTCAAGTGCCATTTCTTGTTGGATTGACAATGAAAAGCTTGGTTTGCCCGAAATCTCTAAAAAACTAGATATCTTCGAAGACGTTTTCATTCCTGATTTCTCTTGAAGCGCTCAGTTGAGAATTCTATTCGAACGTTAAATTTGTATGAGCCATAGAATGTATAGTAGGAACCTACCAATAATATGCCCTTTTATTCAGTTCTTACGAAAAACCTAGGCGTGAATATATAACAATAGATATAAAACATTGAAAAATGCAGGTGTCTGAATAAGTCCATTACTTGTTCGACAACAGTCTTAGTCATGTTACTTGACTATTTTGCCTTTGGACAGTGGTTCGCTGGAGGTCTCCGCATTGAACTGATCGACATAATCTTCGATTAGAGTGCGCACGGCTTGACCAATACGCTTATAATCAGCCTCATTCAGATTGGCGAGAGACACGCGATCGGACCGATGTCGTACGCAGAAGCCGCGGCCAAGTAGCAGAACAACGTGCGCTTCATGCGCTAGTCGCATGAGTAGGTCGGTTGTGTTCGCATGGATGAGTAACTAATCCGCAAACTTATGCTCATGCAGGCGTTCGTCGAGTAATTCAAGATCGAGAATACTGAAGTAATCGACGGAATTGACATCAGCCTCCTCCTCTCCCGGACCAATGCCAGTAACATGATAAAGTGCACGTTTGCGATGCCGAATGAGCCTTTTGAGTGCTGTCTTGTAAGCATCAGCCGTATCCATGAGGGCGACGAGAGAAAAGAGTACCAATTGTACCTGTTGCGGAGTGGACCAACCTGCTATATGGTTCAATGCTACTGGGCGACTATCAACTACCAGTCGATCAATAAATTTGAGTGAATCAGAATCAGGTACGATGGTATACCTTAACAAAAAGCAATACATCGCACATTGATAGAAGAGCATATTCTGGGTATTTTCCCGCATTGTGTTATGCATGCTTCTTATAACCATGAAAGATACACAATATAAAAATATCGAAAAAGTGTGGGTGTGGGTGAAGTCTCCTCTTGATCCGCACACTCTACACCCACACCCACACCCGTTCATATTTAGAACTTTTCAAATACTGAATGATAAATATCTTATAATAGCAATTAATTAATTAAAAACAGACTTTATTAAGCAAATCGTAGTTAGATAGTGAAATAAATCAAAAATAATTTTTCTTCAGTAAAAAAATGATTGATAAATATCATATTGAATCGTTGTTTGATCAAGTCGTATGAATACCGCATATATAAATTATGCTGTATAGGTAATTTTCAAGTAGGGCAACGCCTGACCATATCTATAAACAATATATTCGGTGAAACCTCCCAATACTCCTACGACCGAATGCGTATTTAGTGGTGCCGATGCCAATGCCTGATTAATTGTTGCTTGTTTGGATTCGATACCTAACACGACTTTATTATAATACATGACATGTGTTTTATCTGTTGCATCTTCAGCTGTATAATCGTGAGATTTTTTAGGATCATCTGCAAAGTATGCACCATGGCCTAAATATTGACAACAAAATATTAAGAAATAATCTTTCAAGTTCAATTATATCAAGTCTTCATCTGAACTGGATTGTTGGTGAAATTTTGATGACTCTTCAAAGATGTGTTCTTTACGACATATCGTCGCAGAGAAAATCGTTATGAACTGACTCCCTTTTGTGATGATATTGGAAAGCGTGCTTACTACATAAAACTCAAAGAGTTGAAATCTTTGGACAGATAGAAAAATTTTACATAGATGATCGCGAATATCAATCATAAGTGTGAATTAAAAACATTTCCATCATTTTAATTTTTATTCAGAGATTCGTAGGTAATAGTTAGTAAGAGAACTTAGAAGAATTGAGTACTGAACTTTGCTACAGATAAGATTGTGTATCTTCAAAAATCATACACTTTTCGGTGAAATAAGGGAATGGGCTTCCGTTTGAGATAGAGAGTATTTTTTTAAACTTTAATTTCACAGAAAGCTTAGTTAGTGCAATAAGATTTGCTACAATTACTTTCAAGATACAGATTGGATCTTGCATCAAATTCTCCATTACGATAGACATGATCCAAAATAAACTTATACTAAACTACTAGGATGCCTTTACTGTGTATCTCTCTGTAGAAGCTCATTAGCAGCTACAGCTTTTTGTGACAAAACTAAAAGCTATCAGCTCGATTGAACTATGAGTCGCCGAACCTTTATAGGGCTTTGTATTTTTCATAGTTTACTCTGTCAAGTTGATCAAAAGTCCGATCTTGATACTTCTCACAATGCTAAGGATAAAAAAGTCGCATAAGCTTTCATTCAACAAAATTATTTGTCTTAAAAACACTATGAATGTGACTGACGACACCATTAACTTATCGTCATTGAGGCTAATTGTATTTCCAAATTGGATGAAACAACCATATTTTCTTCATGCTGAATCGTTAAAAACAGAGGCATATGAAAAGTTCTTACTTGTAAAATAACGTGTGTCAGATCAAAAAGCTCAGAAGAACGTTCATATGATATTCTTCAGAGGAAGTTTGATGATGTGTGTGTTTATAGCTTACTTTCATTTTTCTCCACTTTCTATTACTTTCATTTGAACTTTTACTATAAAACTTTATTGAGTAGCTGAGAAATTTCCAGTATGTCAAGACTAAAAGAGCATATATTATCATTATTTAACAGATTCTCGAATAATATTCAGTTGAACTTGATGTTTATTTCGATAGAATTTGATAAAAAAAATACATTGAACGATAGCGATGCTCCTGTAAGAGGGACCATTACTCAGAATCTCAATATTTAATTACAGAATATGGCTTTTCGCTAAAATTTTTATCAGTTTTAAAAATAGTCGATAATTTTGTTGAAGAAATCATTTCAACTGAATTCACCGCAAGTAAGAGTCTATGAGATTTTATCAGTAGTAGGAAGTTTCGGCTTTTCCAGAAGAAACACTAAGTAGTGAAGTTACTTTCTTTACTAGTGAGAATTGACTGGTAACTAATCGCCTCAGTTATTTATTATCTCCAAAGGAAATACTTATTTTTTAGTCGTTGATACTGTACTTTATCCCGGATTTGACTGATATATACTCACGATTTCAGTTCTAATCAGTTCTTACTGTAGGAGATATATCTTCAAGAAGGAATAATTTCAGCACTAAATTCTTTAATTACAAGTTCATGGATCAAAATCATAATAGAAAGTGGTTATCATATTACACGATAGACTGTACGCCATGATCACTCTGGATTTTTTTCAATCTCACTATACTTAAAATATTTCAATGTATCAGTTGAAGTTTCAGTTAATTTCATTCGAGGATGTCCAAGTCTATATATATATTTCTTCACTTTAGCTAACTTATTTAACTTCCAATCTGAGATAGATCTAAATACTCAGTCCTACTCATTTTGAAGGATTTCAAGTCGAGCGGAACAATATAATTCTCAGGACCAAAAACTTTAATTTTAACATGAGACATTATTCTATTGATGTTATACTGTTTAAAAAATAGTATTCACAGGTAAGACATTGCCGTTTACCCTTTACTTTTCTTTTCGTTTGACAATATTTCATTTAGAAACTCATTGATAACAGCAAAATTGGACTAGATTCGATGTTTCTCCATTGTAGTGAGAAAAAAACAACGTCTCTATAATTCATTCTCTCTCTTAAGGTTTACCGTTGGAAGCAGCTCACGCTCATTTTTACAGGTTTCCGGTAACCGGTAATATAATTGGCTGTTAACATCTTCCTACTAGCCGCCTTACTCGACTCTTGAAAAGGAATTGGTTACTGGGTATGAATTTGGATGTCGGTGTTTGTTGAGGGTGTGGTTGTTGGTGTGGGTTTGAGTGTGGCGTGAGTGTGAGTACCATTGAGCACCAGAGCTATATCTACACCTATACCCTCTCTATTTTCTTCATTAGTTTTTTCTTATGGATTCATTATCTTGATCCGGAAAAACCTAATCAAACATTAATAACAGAGAATTATTTGAATATCTATTTCAAATTATTGAATTCTTTATTTTTATAAACCGAAAAAAAAACGAAAAAAACATCAACGGAAATAATTTCAAGATTTTCTGTTCTTGTAATCATGTAGATAGAAGTACTGGCATCAAAGCAGTATTATTTGTTGGTCGAATTTCTCTGAAACTATCAACTAATGTTTGTGCCAACACTTTAGAAAGATGGTGACGATGTCGTAAGTGATATTTTAATGCATAAAATGGAAGTATACGACGTCGACATGGTACACTACCTCCATATTGTCGGCTATATCCTGGTAAATCGATTGGTCCATTGGCAAAAGGACATAGGACTTTATAAAATTGATCAATTACATTTTCATTTTCATCAAATAATTTTGTTATTTTAGGATCGTGATTATCAGCAATAGCTTGAACCAAACGTTGAGCAAAAACTTCTTTTAATTTATGCTTGTGGATGAAATGGTTATATAATTGAATTCGATGATTTTTTCCATACTCACAAAATTCAATACAATGATTTGTTTGAGTAAGACCAAATGCTCCATCAAATGTTAATGGACATTGATGAACAATCGTTCGACATGATTTTCGTTTAGGTTTCTTTTGTTTTTTATTTATATTTTGATTCTGAAAAAAAAATAGTATAATAAATGTTAAAATATCATGTAGGATTTATTTCATAGAAAGTAAAACTAATTTAAAAAATATACAAAGGACAATGACTCAAGTTTATAATAGATATATTTATAATGTTGACTTGCATAGAGACAATAATAATAATATCATGAAGAATGAAGTATAATATTTATGCAAACTGAATTGATACATTATTTGTCTGATGATGAGGTGTTTTACATAGATTGAGAATAGGACTTTTGTATGAAGCGATGTTTATTTATGAGAATATTTAAATTCAACACTTCTCCAACTTCTATGTAAACAACTACTTTGGATAGTCAATTCATATTTTGATTAAATACTTTGAAATGAAAATCTGTGCGAATACGAACAAAAACCTATTCTTCTAGAGCGTTATTGATGAAGAAATTTTCTTCCCTAAATAATCTGTATTAAATATATCGTTTTTATTTTATATAATGCTGGTATTTTTCTAAATTGATCATTTCTTGTCAATGGGATTTTTAGCGAAATTTTGCCGAGAAACATCATTTTTATGATTCCTAATTTAAACATATAACTTCTAAACTAGGCGTCTTCGAATCTCAAACATCTTAGACGAGTTCGAAGAGATACCGTGCAATAGAATGTATATTCGTTATTATTTCTTTATAACAACGTACGATAAAAACAAATAAAGTTATGCTGCTATGTTTAATAAATAATATGATATAAGATATGTTAATTAAAAAAGTGATTTTATCGACTCTTTCACGAAGATAATTATTTTTACCTTAATAAATTTCGTTGTCTTACTAAAAGAAAGAAAGATATTGATTCGGTTTCGAGTTTTCTTTTTAATAAAAAAAAGAAACTTACTCAAATGAAATAGTATTAATAAAATCATGATTGACATGCGTTGAATATTTACTATCTTAAACCAATCATGCTTGTTTTTTTTTAAATTAAAAAAAATTTCACTTACCTCTTAAGATTTCAAATTCTTTTACTACATCTAAACATGTAAAAGAAGATATATTTTTCAAGGCGTTATTTTTATTCTACGAGCGAATTACACGAACTGAACTCCTCATTTGAACTCATATTAGATCAGCAACAAAAAGTATTTCAAATGTAGATACTAAACTTCATCTAATGGTATGCTTGGTATAATGATCATGAAAAATATTCAAGAAAAAAATTGAAAAATTAACTGCTTAAAAATGAATCCAAAGATTAATTGGAAACGTCAAACCAGTAAGCAAACTAGATAAAAACTTCAAAATGTTGTTTTTATTAACTAAACTCAATCCAATCGAAATATAAATAGGATACTCTGAATCAGCGTGAAAAATTGCACATAAATGTTATGCTTTGAAGGATAATAGAAGAAGAACATCATCAGAATGCTGAGAAGAATGGTAAAAAAAAGAAAAATTCTTTACTTAGAAATGCAATATTTTGAGAAATTTATGTTTTGTTTTAGTTGAAACTGTCAAGCTATACTCCATGGGTTATCATAATACTTATGTCTGTACATACTATCAGATGAAAAATTTGTTTGAATAGTCGTAACTTAGCTGATTAGCTAAAACTACTTTAACTAAGAAAGTTTTCTGATCTCTCGATCGAAACAAACAAGAATAGATATAATAAAAAGAAAAGATAATTTGCTTGTGAAGAAGTATTCTTCAATGGTTATGAATCTATTGTATTTTAGTAAGAGCGAAAAATTTCATATTCGTATTAGAATTCATATTTTGTTTCTGATAATGATGATTCGACTTTTCCCCTATGATTTCTTCCATAATTAAAAAAAAGAACAATACGCAACAAAACATATTAATTATCTAATTCATTTTTTACCTGAACGATTCAATGCTATTATTTGATTAATTTGTTCAAAAATATTTTGTAATTCATCGATTGAACTACTGGGTACATCAACCAATTTTTTTGCTTGTTCAATCAAGTATTGTTCGCGTCCAATAGTTAATAATTTTTTGTCAACAATTGATTTAAGTGTATTTATAACAGTATTTAATTCATTACGAAGACTATCTAATCGTTTTTTATTTTGTTTTGTTATTTCAACATGTTCAATCAAATGATTTAAACAAACAAGATGCAAACAACAATGACATTCATATAACTCTTTGATATCATCATCACATTTTATATCGGTACAAGAACCTATTTGAGGCATTTCTAAAAAGCATAAAAACAAAGAAATAAGAATATTTATATCTTCAATATTCATAGGCATATAGTAGTTATCGTGATGAACGAAATGTTTGAAATAATTGACGAACTAACGAACTGACCAAAACATACACATGACTATTTTCTTATTCATCTAAACGAAGAAAAGAGAAAGAAAAAAAAAGAATAAATCGTAATCAAGGACATAATGTTATCATCGTTTGTTTTATCGAATAAAATAATGTGACTTCTAATGGTAGTCAGTAGATGGAGAAGATTGATCGTATCATTTTTCATAACGAAATTCCCTGATGAAAGTTTTAACATTAGATGAAATTATCATGAAAATTTTGTTACGAGTAGAATTTTCACATGTTGAGAACATTTTATCATCAGCAGTTAGATACTTTAACGTAGTTCGAATTAGAAAATATGATAAAAATCGCGACATATATTTTTTACACCTTATCTGTGGCATATATAACGTACCTTTCGAGAGTTTATTCAACATGCACAGTTCATTTACTGTCAGTTTGCTGAAATGCAATACAATGCACAGAATCACTACAATTGCTTTATTTTAACATACTTCATCGACATGTATGAAAGTAATCAATATTTAGTTATTCAGAAATATATTCGAGTGTCTTTATAAAACTATTTGACAGTTGATGAATGTTTTCTATTAATTGCATAAACACGAATAGATGAACATGCCATTTTCTATGTTGATCGTGTAGAAACGATTTCAGAAGAACAAGTGTAGAATGTCGTTAGGTAGCATAAAGCAACGAATAGTCAATATGGATATGTCTTTTCTTCAATCACACACCGACACTCATATTCTCAAGATAGATCTACAGAAGGAGTCGGATCATTGTTTCAGCAAAATAATGCTAGTTGTTGATTTAAACATGCATAGCTATGAAGCGAAAATGATAAATATGTAGTGCGATAAAATATACAAAAAAAAGATCACTTTTCATATCAATCCTTTTCAATATTCACTGAAGTGATCCGAAGCACTTTGTATAAAGGATAATGCGTTTAGTAGATTTACTAATAATGTTGGCATATCGAAGGAATTAGGACTCTAATGTTGTGCTTGTTTTATCAGTAGTCTTCTGGAATCCTTTTGGAAGGGTGCGGCTGGATGTGGATGAAGCATTTTTCCTAACCCATATCCTGCCCCACCCCCAAACCCACATGGCTATTTCTATATTATTCGATATTATCTTGAAAATGTCCTTAACAATATCTATGTTCATGAATAACTTGAATACCTGTTTATACAAGATTCAACATACAATGGTGAAATTGATAATGAATGGAAGAAAGAATACTCTACCTTTCGACTACTTTGATGTGTGAGATGCTAACTACGTAGTTGAAGAATAAATAGCCTAATATTTTTTTTTGTAAAACTAATTTTCACTGTAGTTTTTGACACTCAAGTTACTATGCTATCAGATGCATGATCCAAGATAAATAACCGTTCGTGACTTGTTCACGATCATTCCATAGTTGATGATACTACGATTGGAACATACTACCTTGTGAATAAGCGCTGAATAATGTAGCCACCACTAGGATATAGTGGTTTGATAATGAAAGGTATGCTTTAGTAACGATAGTTTCTCGAAATAATACATACAAGTTGTTATTTGTTCATCAGCTGTAATGATGATTCTCAATTTTGAATCTTATGCGGAATAAGGTGCAAGACTTGTGGTCTAACATGTAATATGAGATTAAGAAGACTTAGGAGTGCGATAATCGATGAAAAAGCTGTTATTGTCCTAATATTCAAGGATTTACTGTTTTTTTTGTTAATGATAACGACGTGAGAGTGGGGATGATATGCTGGTAAAACTCATTACGTCATTGAGTTCGCGCTCTTTCAAACAATAAAGATCTAATGAGCGAAGGTAAATGATTTGGTGAATGCTGATGAAGGAGATAAGTAGTTTAATTTTACTTAACGTATGGCGTCTGCTCGAAAAATCAAATGGGAACAATATTGTCTGGTCGAATGATTCGATACATGCGTTGGATATCAATCTTTGATAATGCATCATTAAAGTTGATTTTATATTCATCAACAATAAGACAGAAAAGCTTGGCAGACATGGTTGAATGGCTCATAATGAATAAATGTCGGTCACGTTTTGTTTTTGTATCCGTCATATTTGACAGCTTGTATAATGTATGTACTTTCTTTCTTCTAAAAAGCAAATCTTATTCTCTGAATTAATAGAAAAATAGTCAGAGGTAATTTGCCTATCAGTAGCACATGCTTCAATATTGGAAGACACACTTCTCTATCACTAAGTCGGTGTTTCTGGATGGAACATCACTGTAACAGAACCAGCGTCTTTCAGACGTCTTCTATCACCAAACAATCAGGAAACATTGGCGTATCTCGAAGGAAATAACCCAGAATACAATCGTTTTGCACCCACATCACACCAGAACTGTATCCTATTTCGGCGGAAACACACTAGAAACAAACCAGATCTGAAAAAGTACTTCAGTGTATCTTCAAACGAATTGACTTCAAAAATCTCAACAGTCCTTTCTCAATCAACATTTTTTTTAAAAACGAACAATTTCAAGTGTTTTCTATTAAATTTAACTATTTATTTCAGTCATGAAAATACCTTAGAAATACTAAATTCGTCTGAAAAAAATCTTCTTTGTGTTCATTTTCATAAATGAAGATCACAAAAATAAACTTATCAAACTTTTTAAGTATTTATCTTGAATTTTAATGAATTTTGTTTCTGACTTCAGTTTACCTGTTGAGAGATATTAAGCAACAACTGGTTAACGTTTTTCAGGTCCTAATAGTCTAGTTTTTTTGAAAGACCTAGCTGGTTTACTGCAGAAACTATACAAAGATATATCATGATGCTTTCTTGTGCTTGAATAGGTAACGAACGACATACCTATATACTTACAAATTACTTGATGAAGTGACAGGAAATCTTACAAATTATATGAAAATATCGTAGCTGATAAGTATATATTCAAGCAAGGTAAACGGTAAAAGAAAAACCAAGAGAACAAACTAAGAATTATATTTCACAGAGCAAAAGAAAAGAAATAGCTATAGTTAAAAGTATGTATATATGCTAAAAGAAAGAGAGTCATCGTGGATCTCGGGTCGAGCATTACAAAGATCAGAAACAATAGTATAAAGACGTTAATGATGACATAAACGAACATAAACAGCAGACATACGCCTGAATCAATGCAAAAAACGAACAGAAAAAAAACTCCATTTGTGATCACGAAATGTTCCCTGCCATTAGAAGTTCCATCTGTGTTTGGAAAGAAAAGCATAAAAAATCGATGCGAAATTTCATTTCTCAAAAGTTATCACAGCTTATTCATGTTTCACTCATTCGATAGAACACAGCGCAAAACCTATACACGTACCAAGTTCTTCTAGAATAATGAGCAGAAATAATTGAGAACTAATCCAAAAATTCGTTGCACATAAGAAGTCATAAATCATTTGTGATCGATTTACTCCACAGGACGACGTACGGGAAAATCTGCGAATTTATTGCATTGGCTACGAAAGTGAGTGACAAACACATAGGAATTATAAAGAGAAAAGAAGCATGTGTAAGATTCAATTTTAATATTCATTTTCAAATATGAAAATGCTGAAACAAGTTCAAAGATGCTACTCATCATCAAAAATAATTGTGATTTTCGCTGCAGAATGTGACACTGAGATAGTTTGGTTGGAATAAAACCATAAAAATTCGTCGATACTTAACAAGAATAGCGTGATGTTATAAATGATTATTTACAAACATCGTATCCGATCGGATGCGGGCTACTGGGCGTAGGAGTATGAATGTGCGCGGGGATCTTCTATTTTTCAACACTGACACCCACCCATGTAAAAAAAATATTCGAAAAAATCAGATTTTAATCGATTATTAATCAGAAGAAAATCGATTAAAATCGATTATATGTAAAAATTTTTTCAAAATCAATTAAACTCGAGTTGCTTCCAGTTCCTTACATGGATGCCTTTCAGTCAGTTTTCATCTATTATTGCTTCTCTATGCATTTTAATCTATCTTTACCTGTTTTCCAATTTTAACCCACCATTACTTGTTCTCCGATTTTAATCTCGCTTATCTATTTTCCGATTTCAATACATTTTTACCTGTTGTCTGATTTTAATCTTTACTTACCGGGTAAACGATTTTAATCATTTGCTTCAAAAATAGGCGCTTTTACCAAGATTCGAACGCGAAACCCTAGTTTTCTCATAATTTTTCTGACTTCTCCGTGGCAAAAAACCATTAGGCTGTCGCCAAGCTAGTGCCTGACATGTATACTAAAATTGGAACTCCTATATAAACTGAATCAATTGAGATTGCGCAATTACATGAGTAATCGATTAAAATCCAGAATAATCGGTTCAAATCAATTAAATTCTATATTAATCGATTAAAATCCACATAAATCGATTAAAATTGACTGCAGTATTAATCGACAATTTGTGTTCCTTGAAAAAGCAATTAGAGTAATCGCTATAGAAATAGAATGTGAAACATCCAAACCAATTCTCAGTTACTTCACGCAACCTGACATTTTCGTCCATATTAGGACATATTTTCTTGTCATTCTTCTCCTTAAACCAAAGAATTTCAAAAAGTCAATACTCAAGAAATATTACAGTAAAATGTTACTTATACATGCTTTCTGAGAGTTTTTTTGAAGACGGATCTCACGATCTGTGTTGAATCTTAAGCCTTTTTTACACGGTTCATGATGGATACAAACCCTATTTCCCACGTTTCGGGCGTGGGAGGGCGGGAGGAGGCGAGGATCACGCTCGAAATTTTCACCCCATATATATCAACAATCCTTTCATATTCCCTAGACTGAAAGGCTAGGGTCTAGAAACCGAAATTCACCTGTGTCTGTCTGTCGGTAACGCGGTCAAAATGGCCATTTTTTTGGCACATGTGACCA